TTGTCATTAAATTCCCAAATGTGTTGAAATCCATATCTTTATAGCTCTCTCTCTCTCTCTCTCTCTCTCTCTCTCTCTCTCGTAAATTAGATTTAATATATATTTATTTCTCGTTGCGATCGCACGAGTATTTCCTTAACGGAACACCAGATGAGCGCAAAAATTATTACTATAAATGATATCTCTATCTATTCTATGCTCTCTCTCTCTCTCTCTCTCTCTCTCTCTCTCTAACTCTTAACTCACATTTATTATGACAATAATTCAATGAATTGCCACATAATTGGTAACAAATAAACTTTTTTGCACACAAAACACAAAATATAGCATACACTACTCGACCACTACTACTATTGCACATTGAATAGCATTAAATATTTTGTTAAACCTCTATTACCATCATAAATATAAATATATTTGTTAGTTCTGTAAATTTAATCCATTAATAAATTATAATTTATAATCTACAAATATAGACAGGTAATTTAATTTTGTTCTAAATCTATTTATTTATTTCCAAAAATTTAATGGATTTTATAAATTATATAAAATTTTTTATTTGAGAATTGCATTCAATTCTAATATATTTTGTATATACATTGTGTTTATACTGCACTTGCATTTTTGTGTACCTACAAAATTATACAATAAAAGCATTTATCAATAGAGTTTATACATTACTAGTCGTATATTTAATTACAAAATCAATTCAATTTACGAGATTATGCTGAATTGCATCTCTCTCTCTCTCTCTCTCTCGCTCTCTCTCTCTCTCTCTTTTGCATAACAATGCAATCTAATTTTTATATTGATCTATAGGTAAGCTTTAGTCTATAGATCAATGTTTTTCAATAACATTGCTGTTACGGATAGTTATCAAGCAAATTACGTTTGGGACTTACGTGTGATTTAACACATTCACACTTATGCTAATATTATGTGGGAATTTTATAGTCTTATCGTAATGTTTTTTGGCTCTCTCTCTCTCTCGACTGCCGTTGACATAGTATAAATTTTTTTATTTTCATCGATCCTATAATTTATTTGCAAAGATGTAGTCTTCATTAAATCTAATTTACGAGAGAGAGAGAGAGAGAGAGAGAGCATTGTACACCATAGGGAATAGAGGGGAACAGTAGTTTTTCAATGTTAAAATTGTTGAAATAGTTTGTATATTACAAGTACATACACGCGCCCCTCTATTATACACTTAATTAAGGTGTCCCTGAACACTTGAGCACTTACACCGCATATACAGATATGGATATATTCACTCTCACACACTATCCATTGGTTTTTACCTGTTTGTAGTAAAAAATTCATATTTTACATAGTTGTCGAGCATGTAATGAGGACAGGGATCGTAAACTGTCCGCCGGATCTCATAGTAATCACCTGTGATATGAACCCATGAGGTAAGTGTCAATCGATAATCTCCCTCTTCATCCCTATCCCTATCATTATTTATTCACGTGTTTATTATATACCCATTCATTGACTGATAGATAGGCTTAAACAGTGCGCTTAGGAATGTATGGCTTGAATTTATATACATGTTTATCATTGATAATACATTATATTCAATGCGCACATAAGATACTAATACATATGACATTGAAACTAACGTATCATTTATTTTATTAAGTTTTTTCTCCGCTCGTAACTCACAATTCTCTCTCTCTCTCTCTCTCATGATTGAAGGGAATTACGAGGAAAACAAATACGGTTAAAATGTTAAATTACGTAACAAATTATAATTAATTTGATGCTTAAAAAGTGTACACAATTACTATGTTTACAGCATTTAGTGTTAAATTACATAATATGTTAAAATAACTGCACAATGTTTTTAAATGCCTTAAAACTTTTAATTGACTTAATTTGTCAAATGATTGAGAAATCATTAGGTTTTTCACAGATATTACAATTGCAATAAATACTTTTTATGACTTAATAAAGTTTGTTAATAATATGCATTTAACTATAAATTATTTTTGATAGCATGTGGTAACAGTAATATTTAATTATATAAAAATTTAATTATAAAAAATAATATAAACTTTGCATATATTATCGCTGATGATCGTGGTAATGTTAATGAACTATAATAATTAAACTATAATTACATTGATGACAACTGTTTCACATTAAAACATCTTTATAAATTATTTAAAAATAAACAAAAACAAGAATAATGTTATAAATATAAACAAATGTTTAGCATTTAAATCTCGACAATAGTACTTGATGCAAAATTCTCGTTACTTGTAAATTTAATTAATAAATAATAATGTATTCAGTATATAAGCTCACAATTATTGCATGTTTTACATTCGGTATTTATATAATTACTAATTATTAATTAGTAATATTTATGTTCAATGCTTATAAATTGTTTAATTATAATCATATAGCATTGATAAATGGTATCATTGGCGGGGGTTCACAGTCACAGCCAGGTATTTACACACATGTATTATAAACATATTACTTGTCTAAATAATAGCAAATTCTGTTTGCAATTCTGGTACAGAATTGTGTCGAAATATTACCAAAAATAAATGTACGTAAAAATAAATGATATATTTATTTACACAGCGATTGTAAACCTATTAACGGTTCAAAACTACAACGAATGTGAGGGCAAAGACGCCAATCACTACACTCTGGTCAGGACGTGGACACAGGCGCTGCCCTACGATCAGCCCAACGGCGGCAATACCATCGGTGTCGGTGCCAACGACACGCTCACCGCCTGTCCACCAAACGGACCGCGTGTGCTCTACCAACTGGAATCGCTGGTCAACACCACTTACCCACAGGGTGGTAAGTTATATATTGTCATACGTATTTTTATCTAGTTTAAATAATTTGTAATTCTCAAATCTACCATGAATGATGGTAATAATTAATTATAGCGTACAATCAATTGGAGAATCTATATCTGGTGAAGAGTGGCTGCGGTCCTCTACAGGGAAAGTATGTTTACCTGAAGAGCATTGTATTACAGGACGTATACCTGAAGGTGCTGTCCAGCCAACTGGGTCTGGGCTACACCACTACCAATACAGCCGTACTGCTCATCAGCGATATTCTCAACCTTAATGTATTTGTGTCGCCGGTGGGCGCATACGACCAGTTCAGAAAGGGCTGCACCACTGTATGCAAGGGAACCGGGTTTACGGTATAAATCATTTGATTTAGTTGTACTGTACGTATTAATTAATCAATGTAGTTTTATTATGTGTCAGCCAGTTATTTGTAAAATTATTTATTGGTTAATAAATTTTAACTATTATTCTATGAATTAAAATTGAATTACTAATTATGACATTTTTATCGTAATAATTATGATTATTAAAGTGTTTGTAAATCAAAAGTTAATAAAAATGCTATTTATTATTTACTACAACGGAATAGTATATTATCATGTGTTATAATCATCTAATATTTGACGTGAGTTATAATGAAATATAGTATTATTTAATGTACTTTTATTACTGCAAAGGAAACGTCTGTTACAAAAGAATATAACATTTGTTGTCAAAACAAACTAGATGTTTGTATGAAACACTTTTACTAACGTGAAATAATTCATTGAAATATATAACTTGTTTTATGTCGTTGAGGATTAGGGATTGAGATGATAATATCCTGGCATATTGTAAATCATCTAGGTTTATAGTTTTAATTTGTTATCTAATGAAATAAATTATTATAATTAAAATTTTACACAAATTCTTTAAATATTTCAATTGTCTGCATATTTAATATTCTCATCAATATGCAATGTTTAAATTAATAGGATGTTAACGTGTATATTTGATCATAGTCATAGTGCCACAATGAATAAACATTTAAACAATGTAATAACATTAATAGATAAAGTGATTTGTTAACCTTAATTAAATTTTTATAATTGTGAAGTTTATATTAGTTTACTTACCAAACATATGCTGGCTAACAATTACATTAGTTTAATAAATTAAAATATTAGTGTATTAACAACACTGAATTAGATGTGATATGTTATACATATTAGTGAATTGTTTGTTAAGTGCCGTCCAAATTGTGACAGCATTTAGTGGCAGTAATAGTGAGCAAAACCTTATCGTCATATCGTTTGATGGCTTTAGAAATGATTTCGTGTCCCGAGAGTTAACCCCAAATCTGTACCGATTGGCCGACAATGGGGTCAGAGGTTAGGCATAAAATTTATATTATTTAAAAAAATTAATGTTTGTCTTTCGTACTCATCAATAGGTCATATGATTTCAAACTTCGTAACCAAGACATATCCCAACCATCAATCTATAGCCACCGGGTTTTATGTGGAAAATCACGGTATTGTTCACAACGAGTTTTTCGACCCCAAACACAACCGAGTGTTTCGCACAAACAAACAGTTACCCGACTATTGGTGGACAGAGTTTCCGGTCACTCCTGTCTGGGTATATAAGCATTAATAGTCATTACGACATATACTGTATAATACATTGTAAACATTGCAAAATATTTGATTAAGACGGCAAACCAACTGTACGGCCGGTCCAGTGGCGTAATGCAGTGGCCGGGCGGTCACGTCAAGTACAAAAATCAAACGGTCCGTCACTACCAGCCCTATGACAGTCACAAGCGATGGGACAAACGTATGGACACTATTGTCCATTGGATGGCAGACGAACGGTCGTCCGTCAACTGTGTGTTCGCCTATTTCAATGAGCCCGACAGCACTGGCCATCACTACGGCCCGGACAGCGACCCGGTTCGGGCTCAGGTACGTCGAGTCGATGCCGCGATGGGCCGTTTGTTGAGTCGGTTGGCCGACCAGCACCTGTTAAACCGGACGAATGTGATTGTGCTATCAGATCACGGTATGACTGAAGTCAAGTAAGTCTCCTTATGTTAAATGTTGTTTTATTTTATTTTAGGCTCATTAATGTAAAATTTTACAGCTACAGTACATAGTATGAACATATCAAAAATTTAATTTTAATGTTAGTTTTTACATTGACAATGAAGCATGGTAAATTTACTATATAATAATTTCTTATACTTATTGAAAATTGCAAAAAAGTGATATCCGTTTACCGTCGTTCACATTATGGAACCATTTATAAGTATTGTATTCATTGTTTGAATGCATCGCTCGTATGAACGAGATTTCAGTGAACATCGGATAACACAATATATGCATCCATTCAATCACTTATATAATACAAAATATACACATTTACTATCATTACAGTTATTGGCAAACATTTAATTCATATTGATCATGATCAAATGTGTAATGAGACCCAGAATTACCTTTATTTGAAACTTTATTATATTTATAATTATAATTAGTGTCTAAAAGTTTTTGAAAATTAAAATAGGCTAGTTGAATTAGTTAAATTATTAATTAAATTTAGACAAAAGTGTCTCATGAAAATGTTACATAAGAATATTCAATACGTTATGATTACGTTAAGGTGTTATAAATAATGCAAACCTGTTTATTACACTGATTGTTAACATGGTGATTTCAAAAATAATACTAATTTATTCCTTAATAATGATACAAGTGAGAATTGATGTTTAAAATAGTCATATTTGTATTTAAAATAGAAATTAATTACAATTACAACTAATTATAAATATGAGAATATCGTTGTTAACGATTGCCTCTCCGCACACATGTTAGGGCTAATCGCGTGATAAGTCTAAACAAATACCTAAACCCCTCGCTGTACGACATGTACGGGGCGTCTCCCGTGTGGTCAATACGGGCCAAACCGGGTTATGAGGACCGGGTGTACGACACACTCGCAGAGGCGTCCAAAACACAACATTTCAAGGTATACAAGAAGGAGGCGCTGCCCGACCGCTACCACTATCGTAATAATCGGCGCATTTTACCCATATTTTTGATGGCCGACGAGGGCTGGGATGTGGACCGGGAGATGCGATGGCGTCCTAAGGGTTGGCCGGTTTGGGGTAATCACGGGTGGGATAATCGGTTGCCGTCTATGAGGCCGCTGTTCATCGCCAGCGGACCCGCGTTTAAGCGCCGTTATGTACACAACGGGGTGTTTATGAACTCAGATCTGTTTCCCCTTATGTTGCAAATACTTGGGCTTCCAGTGAAACGGTTCCCATGCGATGGATCATTGGATAGCGTGGCAGATATGTTGGCCCACTATAACATAGATCGTCAATTTGTTGATAGTTTATTAAATGAATCTTTGTAAATTTTAATGATTTGGAAAATACTCTATAACTGGACGTTAAATTCATATTAATAATAAAAAGTATTAAATATAATTTTATTTATAAAAATTAACTAATTTGTTTTAATAAACATTTATTCAAAATAATTATCTGTTTTTCTTGTAATTGTTTATTGACTATAATGTATTATATAAAATTTTGAATTACTATACACTTTAAATTACAATTTATAAACTTTACATGCAAAGTATTCAATTATTAAACAAATAAAATATTACAAAATGACCAAACAGGTTATTAATAAATAAAAGTTTTATTTTTATTATGAAACATGTTTATACTGTGTTAAATAATAAGCAGCTATGAATTGATGGAATATTCCGTAAACATCCATGTAACATTACTTGCGTAAACAACATAATAAATGCAAGGATAATTATGTAGCAGTGGAATGTGACTAACAAAATGTAAATCAAACAATTAATGTCATTTTCACAATTTATAAGTACTTCGTTAGTATTTAAAAGTATTTGTCATAGATTGTCTCATTTATAATACGTTTAATGGTACAATGAATTTAAATTTACATATCTCTTGACCGAAACGCCGGAATCGCAGCAAAAGATATATAAAGAGTCAAAGAGTGTCTTCGAGTCGAAAGTATTTATAAATTAAAAGTAATTTATTGTAAATATTAATAAATAAATAAATTGTTTATAGGAAGACATCGCTTACGATGCCATCGAAAGGCTTGAAAACCTAAAACCGTACTCATGGAAACACACCGTCTGTTCCCACCGTTACTGATGCTGGAAAGGGAGGCCTCGCATGACATCACATTGACCGGCGATGGAGGCGCTGATGATTTCATTAGGGTATTTAAGGGTGATTTCATTCAAATCCCTGTATACGCGCTTCATAAAGACCTATCTAATTTTTACAATCATTTTGTTGTATTTTTATCTAAAAATTTAATAACTATTAAAAAATCAATTTCCACTTAAAATCATTTGAGTTTTTCAAGTGATGTCAGAGGAAAACAAATCTAAACCGGAGACCAAAGACAGCGACAGTAAGCCCTCCGGTAGTGGAGAGGGAGGGAAGACAGCGACCGATGGGAAGAAATCGAGTCAAGTAAAGGTAATCTCAAGCACTGATAGCACCGACAGTCTCGCGGCCAACAGCGGCTCCAAAGACAGCAAGAAGTCTACCGACGGCGAGAAGTCGTCCGCCAATTCTGGTAGTAGTGATAGCGGTGGTAGTAGTGGTTCGGGTGCTGGAGCTAAGGCTGGGTCTGAGGCTAAGTCAGAGGCTAAGTCTGGAGCCGATGCTAAGGCTGGAACCGGGGCTGGAAGTGGAGCACCCGCTGCGGCCACCCCTGACAATCGGTGTCCCATATGTATGGACCCGATCGCAGAGCCCGCCCGCGGCAATCAGTGCAACCATCGGTGCTGTACGGCGTGTCTGCAGGAGTGGGCCAACCAACACGCCAACTGTCCGGTGTGTCGGCAGCCAATCACAGAGATCTGGACGAACATACGGCCGGATGGCGGCCACGACACGCGACCGGTGGTGCGACAGAATGTGATGCCGTTTGTGCCGCAGATTGTGCCGCGTCGGGGCCGCTATCGACCGCCGCGACCGCCGCCACCCGTACGCAACCCGCGTCTCAACTATCATCGGTTGGGCTACTATTGGCGTCGGGGAGTACTCTGTCGACTGCCGCGACGGCCCGAAGAGATGGAAGTCGCGCGTCACGACGCGTGGCTCAGGGGTCGCCGCTCTTGGCGAGGTCTTCAACCCAAACGCCCGCAGAAATGGTCGCAACGATCGGAACTCGAGGTTCGGCCGCAACGGAAGACAGAGTAGGTTTGGTAGAGATATGTTTGGCCGTCGGAATCGCCGGTTGTTTGGTAGACAGCGGTCGGGAAGACGCGGGCGAAGACAGCGCTCCGCTTCCGGCACACGAAGGAGACGGAGGACCAGAAGGACGAGTCGCCGGAGCAGATCCCGGAGCCGTCGCTCCGCCCGACGATGACTTGATTGTGTTTGAGCAGAGGTGTGTCCGTTCGCTTCTCTTCCCTTCTCTCCCAATTCATTATACAATAAATTGTATCATTCATTGAAACCAATTATTTAAACAATTTGTAGTTTTTTTGGTTTAATGGTTAGTAAATCTATGAATTTAATGTTGAAATGCCTTTACGTTAAGCATTTCATTACCAGTTTTTGGTTATGTTTACAAACTTTGTAATTAAATTAATTGTAATTAAAAATTAATTCAACATTTGTTAATATCTGCTAATAGTTAACTATTCATTGAAAGTTATAAGTACATATGCATGTAAATTGACCAGGGCATCCTATGCCTAATCACGGTACAAGTGGTTGGGTGAGTGTGTTTTAAACAGTGCAATCTATTTGTGGCATTAATCATGTGATGCCCGCATGTATGACCATAGCTTTATATTTTGTTTGGAAATTATTTTTAATTCATTGTGCTTTTGATATTTACAATAATTAATGATTTTATTAATTTTAAAAATGTATATTGCAATATAAATTTATTTCATTAAAGGGTGAAATTATTAATTTTATTGTTTATCATATTATGTAATTAAGTGAGCAAACGTTTATTATAAGTTATAAATCTACACGTGTATGAAATTTTAAAAATAAGGTAACATTTTGTATCACTTATTAAGTGTAGTACAAAGTATTAAGCAACATAAAAAGTAATGTTATCAATTTATTCAAAAATAAATAATATTTGAAATTATTAACTATCAAATACCATACATAATAGCATTTATGATAATTATAAATTATAATAAACTCATTTATTCGCTGAAATAACATGTAAATTATTTGGTAAATCACTTTGAACACAATGTTTAGTGAAATGCGAATACTTTTTGATCATAACATTAATTATGGCAAACAATACAATAGAAATGGCGAGGAATAGGAACTCCATGTAAATGAAAACGAGTGAATAGTCTTCAATCCAATTGCCGACAATGAATGGTGTGATGAGAGTAAACACTCCCCGGAATAATAGGAAAGTGGCCGACAAACGGGTCGTCATATTCAGGTGCTCTTCAGTGAAGGCGTAGATTCCGGCAAACATTCCCGAAAAGCCGAAACACGTGGCAATACTGGCCGCCCATAACGTGGTGACCGAAGTGCGGCCCGGGATTAGTAGTGTTGCGCCTATTATTATGATTACGTAATGCGAGGCTAAGATTGTCCGCATTTTAAATCTGTTTAATGAATGTAAAAAAAATTTTGATATACATTAAGTGTCAAATAATTATATTTGATGTAGATAACAATATTGACCTGTATGGATAAAATATATTGAGTACCAGACCAACGGTGTTGACAGTAATGGCCACGGAGTAGATCTCAGTGGCCTTTTGAGCGCTCAGTCGGAGCGGCGAGTATTGAAAGTATGTTTGAGAAAATTTCATAAAAATGGTCTCAAAAATGATATAAAACGTGAAAAACAGTGCGAATAAGAGTCTCATTGTTTTTCTCGGCGTATCTTTTCTGTCAAATAATTTGATTTTTATTTTATCATTACTTTTGTTCATATCTTCGCTACTGTTTTCATCGCACTTTTCCTTTGGCTCTTCATATGGTTTAATGAAATGCATTACAAACAAAGCCAAAGGTACTAATTATTGGGTGAATAAATAACTTTATTTAAAACAGTTTTACTAATTGTGAACAACAAAATCTATGTAATAAATACCTGTTATAATACAGCCACCAATGATGAGGGTAGGGATCATAAGTCGAGACCTCCTATCGATGACATCTTCAACATTGATGACCAGTTCATTGTCGGCATAAATGGTCTGATTTTTCACTTCATTGTCTGTTTCGCCGATGAGATAGGGTTTCAGCGCTACCGTCGATAGTATGGATCCGATGCCAAAGCAGACCTCATATAACTGCATGATAGGCACCAGTAGTGTAGGATATAAAAGGGGTGACTAAACACCACGCCCACTTTATCAGAGGGCCCGCTGGAGGCCCGTCGGAGTACATGTTATGCAATACAAAAATACGCATAGAGTTATGCAATACAATGCGT